CTTTTCTAGTGCCGGAAGAGGTTTTATTGTTACTTCAACAATTTCCTCAAGCGGTCCTTCTGTTACAGTTGTTTCAGGAGCCTTTCCTTCCTCTTCTACTGTAACTACTTCTGTCACTTGCTGTTCTTTTCCTCGCCGCTTGATGATTTTCTTTTTAATAGTTTTCTTTGGTTTACCGAGTTTCGTAATTTCCTCTGTTACAGTTACCTGTTCCTTTATCTCCTCTACTTCCGTAGGCTTGACTTTTTCTAGTGACGGAAGAGGTTTTATTATTTCTTCAACAATTTCCTCTAGCGGTCCTTCTGTTACAGTTGTTTCAGGTGCCTTTCCTTCCTCTTCTACTGTAACTACTTCTGTCACTTGCTGTTGCTTACCTTTTTTTGTAGTTATTTTTTTCTTTGTTGTCTTTTTTGGTTTACCTTCTATTGTTATTTCTTCTGTCACTGTAGTTTTTTCCTCAACTAGTTCTTTAGGTGTAATATATTTTAACGGTGGTAAAATTTGTGGTTTCGTTTCTTCTTCTGGTAGTTCTTCTTTGATAGGTATTTCTTTTTTCACTTTTGGTTCAATTTTTTCTCTCGTTTCAGCTGGTTTCGTCACCATTGTTGTTTCTGGTAACTTTTCTTTTTCTTCTATCGTAGTTTCTTGCATAACTTTTTGTGTTTTTCCTCGTTCACGTATAGTTTTTTTTGTAACTTTCTTATTTTCATCCATATCTTGAACCTGAATCTCTTCTACTTGTACTTTTTCCTCTTCTTTTTGCACTGTTTCCTCGGCCTCATCTATTCTGGTCGGTATTATTTCTTCGACATCTATTGTAGTCGTTATTTCTTCAATCGGCATAAATTGTTTCTTTGGTATTGATGGTATTTTTGGCTTGATATCCTCCAATTCTTCCTCAATGACAACGACATTGTCTTCTTCGTTCTCTGGTTTTTTCTTACGTATAATTGTTTTCTTTGTTTTAACTGCCGCGGTCTCATCTTCTTTGCTTCCGCGTCTGAATTTCGTCGTATATTCTTCTATTACCTCTGTATCTGATTCAATCAACTGTGGCGTATCGTGTTTTGTTGTGTGTTGTGTGATTGTGATGTGATGTTGTTGCGCTGGTACTTCTGTAGTTTCTGAAATGTATACAAGAACAAGTGTGATATGATTAATGTGTTGTGATACAATCGTTTTTGGACTATTTGCTTTTTTCTTTATATTTATTCTTTTTTTTTTGGTTTGACTTCTCACATTACCGCGAATATGTTGCAGGCGAAACTTCATTCGAGAGCTTTTGTAAATTGTTCATTGTTTCTCGATTTTATCCGATTTTAATATCCGTTACGTAATAAAACTGTCTCGATACATACTTTGCAACTTGTAATAGAAATTGAAGTATGTATAGTATATATATTTTGCATATATATTGGCTCCGTATATGATATGTGTTATTTGCTTCTATTCCCATTACTAGTTTCATGACATGTCTCGATACAAATTTCATTACATAAAGGATATTAAGGAAATATTATTTAATACAGTGCATCAAAATCGTCTTATGAATTATTTGTTTGACATGAATGAACTGTTGTGTGTTCTATGTGTGAAGGATTAACTTGTATTGTTTCTATGTTTCTTTCCATATCTAGTGTTTGTTTTTGTTGTTCATATACCTACCTTACACAACATTTTATTCCTATCCTATAATCATTATCCTACTCATCATGATCCTAACAAATTCACTTCGTAGATACAAATAATTATTTTTATCGAGTTGATCGTTCTTTTGCTTCGATCGAATCATTCTTTACGACCTCACGAATCAAATTTACTATCGACATGTCAAAGCGTCTCCTGGTCCATTCCTAATTGTCCACGTGCTCGTCCGTCCCGTCGATGCCAATCGCATACCTTGATAACAATAATACTCACCCACAACGTGTTCCAGATGTTCTGCCTCGACAATAACGTTCGCTAACTTCGCGGAAGGTAATACAGACTCAGGCATTTCTGACTCAATCTCACCGGCACTCAGCGGTTCTGTAACGATTACACTTTGTTGAATTTCATCCACACCTTTGGCCTTTTTGCCTTCCGGTTTCATCACTTTAAATTCATCAGCCATGTCCGCTAACTGGACCTCTGTTTTCAAAGCAACCTCGTGCTTGATCACGTCAGGTTGAGCAGAAACTTCTTTGGCAACGCCTTTGATCACCTCTTTCGATTCTTGTTCCGTAGCCATTATCTGCGTCACTTCCACACTTTCAGACATGCGGAATGACATCTCAGCTGTGACTGATTTTGCTATTTTCTCCACAACGAAGGTACTCTCGCTTTCCTGGGTCATTGCTTGCAATTGCTCGATACTTTCGAATGGTATCTGTTCAGGAATTATTTGTTTGGTAACTGGTTTCACCTCTTTTTGCAATTCTCCAGCCGCAACTGATGGAATCACTTGAGATTTCTGAGCAACTTGGATGCCTATCAAGCTAGGCTTAGCTGTTTGAATGGTGGGTTCGTCTGGAGTAGCGAGATTCTTTTCCACCTCGCCAAATGCGATTTCTGACACAGATAAAGGAAGCAATTCCTCTAATTGAGGTTTTCCTTTCTGTTCTTCAGGAGCTTTAGGTTTTGGAAGTTCTTCTGTACTTGTTATTGTCAATACTTCAGATGTTTGTACTACTTCGATACTATCCAATTGTGGAAGCGCTTTGTGTTCTTTGGGAGCTTTTGGAGCAGGTAATTCTTTTTCTGCTTCTATGGACACCACTTCGGAAACGGTGAGAAAACTCATTTCCTCCACATCCGGTTTCCCTTTTTGACCTTCTGGTTTCTCTGATTTCTCCAACTCTTCGACAGTAGTCACTGTTAGAATCTCCGTTTTCTGAGCTACTTCTCTGCCAGCCATCTGCGGTTGTGCGATCTTCTCGCTTGGCTTCTCAGGAGATGGTAATTTGTCTTCTAACTCACTCGATACTATTTGAGAAATTGTTATGGATGTCAATTCGTCCAATCTTGGTTTCCCTTTCTGTTCCTCGGGCAATGTAGGTTTTTGTAATTCTTCTATGCTAGTCATTGTAAGAATTTGACTAATCTCAGCAACTTCTCTTCCTAATAATGCAGGCATAGCCGTCGCTGCACTTGGAGCTATCTGTTTCTCCAATGTCTCTTCGGTCTCATGAGATACTGTTTGAGAAACCGTGATAGAAGTTAATTCCTCCACATTTGGTTTTCCTTTCTGTTGTTCCGGTAATTTATCTTTTTCTAATTCTTCTACACTAGCCACAGTAAGAACTTGACTAACTTCAGCGACTTCTCTACCTGTCAGTGCAGGTTTAGCAATTACTGTACTTGGAGTTACCTGTTTCTCGAATGTCTCTTCAGTTTCGTGAGACACTGTTTGAGAAACTGTGATAGAAGTTAATTCCTCCACATTTGGTTTTCCTTTCTGTTGTTCCGGTAATTTATCTTTTTCTAATTCCTCTACACTAGCCACAGTAAGAACTTGACTGACTTCAGCGATTTCTCTACCTGTCAGTGCAGGTTTAGCAATTACTGCACTTGGAGCTATCTGTTTCTCTAATGTCTCTTCGGTCTCATGAGATACTGTTTGAGAAACCGTGATAGAAGTCAATTCCTCTACGTTTAGTTTTCCTTTCTGTTGCTCAGGTGATTTATCTTTTTCTAATTCTTCTACACTAGCTACAGTAAGAACTTGACTGACTTCAGCGACTTCTCTACCTGTTAATGCAGGTTTAGCAATTACTGTACTTGGAGTTACCTGTTTCTCGAATGTCTCTTCAGTTTCATGAGACACTGTTTGAGAAACCGTAATAGAAGTTAATTCCTCTATATTTGGTTTTCCTTTTTGTTGTTCCGGTAATTTATCTTTTTCTAATTCCTCTACACTAGCCACCGTAAGAACTTGACTGACTTCAGCGACTTCTCTACCTGTCAGTGCAGGTTTAGCAATCGCTGTATTTGGAGTTATCTCTTTCTCTAAAGTTTCTTCAGTCTCGTGAGATATCGTCTGAGAAATCGTGATAGAAGTCAATTCTTCTACATTTGGTTTTCCTTTCTGTTGCTCTGGTAGAACAGGTTTATGCAATTCTTCTACACTAGTCACTGTAAGAACTTGACTAGTTTCAGCAATCTCTCTTCCTAATAATGCAGTTTTAGCTGTCACTGCACTTGGAGCTACATGTTTCTTCAATGTCTCTTCAGTTTCATGAGATACTGTTTGAGAAACCATAACGGATGTCAATTCTTCTATATTTGGTTTTCCTTTTTGTTTTTCTGGTGTACGATCAGCTATTAATTCTTCAGCAGCGATCATAGTTAATATCTGAGTTGTTTGTGCCACATCGTGACCAGTCAAACTCGACTGAGCAATTTTCTCTGTCGGTACTTCAGGACTGACTAACACATCCTCCGTTTCCGTGAAAATCGTCTGCGACACGGATAAAGGAACAAATTCCTCCAATCCAGGAACACCTTTCTGTTCTCCAGGCTTTTTATCTTCAGCTAAAGTGTCGATATTTGCCATAGTTAATATTTCCATCATTTGTGCTACGTCCCTGCTTATTAAGCTGGGTTGGGCTTCTCTTTCGACCGGTATTTCTGGTGTAGGCAATGTTTCCTCCGTTTCTTGAGAAACCATTTGCGAGACAGTTAAAGATGCCAATTCTTCCACTTGTAGCTTACCTTTCTGTTCTTCCGGAGCCTTGGATGCTACGAGTTCCTCAGCACTAGCAACAGCCAATACTTGCATAATCTCTGCAACATCTCTTCCGGTCAAACTTGGCTGAGCTGTTTTCTCTTTTGGAACTTCAATCGTTAGCAATGTTTCCTCTGCTTCTTCAGATACCACATGTGAAATTGTAAGAGGTATCAGTTCATCTAATTTAGGTTTTCCCTTTTGTTCTTCGGGTCTCTTCAATGTAAGGTCTTCTGTTTCCGTTATAGTGGTTATTTGGGACGTTTCTGCGATTTCACGGCCTAAAATATTAAAGTTTGCTTTTTGATCTTTAGGCGTGGTTTTCAAAGCAAATATATCTTCGGTTTCATTAGAAATTACTTCAAAAATTGTGACGGAAGACATCTCTTCCATTTCTACCTTGCCTTGCTGTTTTTTCAATTGAGTTACTTTTTCAAATTCTTCAGTAGTCGACGCAGCAATCACTTGTGTTATTTCCGGAACTTCTCTGCCTGTAAGACTAGGCTGAGCCTGTTGTTCTTTGGGAGTAACTGTTGCTGGTAAAATATCTTCAATTTCATTAGAAACAATTTCCGTAACAATGACAGTACTAAGTCCTTCCATTTGAGGTTTGCCTTTTTGCTGTTCAAGTTTAAAATCTTTTCCTTCAAATGTGTCTTCTTTTTCGCCAACAGTTGTCTCTATTTTTATAGCTGTTTCTATCATAGTTTGAGCCATCGTGGCTTGAGATGATATTTGTTTCTCCTCGTGAATTTCCTGAATATTCTGAATACTTTCTACTAAAGATCCAATCACGGTTTCATGCAAACTGATGTCCTGGATAGCTTTGACCTCTTCTCGTTTAGGTACCACATCGAAAACACTTTCCTTGTCTTCCGTGATAGTCTCTGACACTTGAAGAGATGTCACTTTTTGTATATCGATATCTGCTTTTTGAGTTTGAGGTTTGAAGACACCTTCGAATGTGCGCTCGCTTTCTTCCACTATGTTCTCGTTTACTATGATGCTCTCGAAAGTGTCTTGTTCAGGAATAGCTACTTGAGGCTTCATGCTTACTTGTTCTATCTTATCTGGTATGCTAATTTGAGATTCGATCATAGTTGTTTCAACGATATTACGTTCCATGATAAGAGTACTATTAGCTATCTGCGAAGTATCCAGTTTCTTTTCTTTCAGTACAGACTCCATTTCCGCTGAAGTGACTTCCGTTATCGATATTCCATGACCTTGCTCGAACGTCTGCATCGCTGTAGAGAAAACTGTTCTTGGATATTTATCAAAAACTCCTTCACTTTCTGCGCTTGGGATTTCTTCCACAATAATGGGTTCTAGAGCATCCTGTTTATGATGAGCTTGAACCTCATATTTCTCGAACGGCTGAACCAATCCAGTACTCTGTTCAATAAATACCTGAGCTTTTTGTGCTACATCCATTCCAACCTTTGTTAGAGTCATTTCCGCTGTGCTCTCTTCACGTTTTTGTATAATCATTGTATCTTCCTTGTCTTGAGAAATAACGTGAGAAATATTGACACTCTTTCCTTCAACGAAACTCACTTTCGCACTTCGTTCGTCCATCTTCATCTTTTCCTCGAATACTGTGCTATGTTCTTGCGGAACAGTCTCACTGATATCAACGCTTTCCAATGTAGTCTGCGTTGAATGAGCTTCGAATGTTGTTGGTCGTGGTGTTACAGGTAAGTCTCCCAGTCCTTCTCTGAGACTTACCTCCATTTGTTCAGCGACTTCTTTACCCTCCATCGATGATTTTGCTATTTCTTCGCGAGGTTTCTTAATTATTGACAGTTCAGCTTCGACATCTTGTGCTGTGGTCGCTTCTGTGATAGCGATAAATCTGTTTTCGTCTATGGCAATTCGAGCACTAGTCTTCTGCAGTGATATTTCCTCGATCTTGTCTACTTCTTTTTCTGCCAGTACTTGTTCTGTCATCTCGATCGTTTCGAATGGTTTTTGACCTACTTGTGCAGTGGCTGTAGTAGGTTTAATGATGTCCATTTCTTTAGTACTCAAATGTGGTATAATTTCAGATCTTTCCGCTACTTCGTGTCCAGAGATAATAATCGGCATTACTGATCTTATTCTTTCTTCTTGGACTGTTTTTAATATCTCTTCTTTATCGGCTGCGCTAACTTCGATGACACTAGTCACATGTTTGCCTTCTTCGATAGATACTTCTACTTTTTGAATAGTTGGCTTAAACTTTCCTTCGAAGGTATTTTCTCGATCTTGAACGATGTCTTGCGTGACCAGTAAGCTTTGATATAGTTCTTGACTGGTTTGTGCTTTCTTGATGTCTGGTTTCTCTAATTTCACTTCACTTATTGAATCTTCTACGGAGATGGTGGTTGTTTCAGCAATTCCATGGATGGAGTCTAATCCAATCGAGGCTGCGTGCTTTGACGGCTGTTCTTCAGAAATGTATAAAGATTCTTTATCTGCTGGAGTTACTTGAGACACAGTTACGATTTTCTTACTCTCTTCAAGATCTATAATGGCGGTCTTGTTTTCTGGTAATTGGCCTGATATGAATTTGTCTTCGCTTTCCTGTATAATTGGTTGAGATTCTATTAATGAAATAAATGGAACATGTTCTGATACAGCAATAGCACCTGATGGCTTTTCTTGAATGAATTCTCCAGTGCTGAAATCTACAATCTGCATAGTCGTTTCGGCTACCATATGACCAGAAACCAGATTCTTTCCAGCAGTCTTTATCTCTGGTAAATTTTTAGACTTGTATTCTTCCTCTTTATCTTCCAAGATCACGGTTGACACTTCTATACTTTGCTCTTCTACTACGGATAAGTCTGCTAGAGCTTTCAATGGTTTTTTGTCTTTGATAAACGGTCCTTCAACTTCAGTTGGTTGAATTTCCGAACTGATCACAGCTTCCAAAGGGATGCTAGATGGCACTGCTAATGCGGAGACCGGTTTTATTTTTTCCAATTTACCAGCACTGGAATCGACAGTCACTTCTGTCTTTTCCGCAATCACGTGTCCAGCGAATTGTACACTAGCTTGTTTCTCAGATGGTTTCTCAGATATCTGAAGAATATCTTCTTTATCAGCTAGAATCTCAGTAGTAGTCGTTGCACTGATGATTTCATTGACAGAAACCTCTGCTTTATTAGTGATTACAGGTTTATTCTTGAATTCCTTCTCAGTTTCAGACACGATGGTTTCTGTTTGAACGATACTTTCAAATGGTAATCGTTCTTCCTTGGCAGCTACTGTGATTGGAGCAGGTACAGTTAAATCTCTAGAAATAGCAGCTGGATTGATTTCTGTTAATTGTGCAACTTTATGCGCATCAAAGCTTGCAGTAGCCTGTTCTCCTTGTATTTCTAGCTTCTTGAAGTACTCTTTCTCTTTATCTGATGCAATTGTTTCAATAATTGTTATGCCTTCTTCCTCCTGAAAAGAAACATTGACCATTTTTTTGTCTGGTTGAACGAAGTCTTCCATCGATTTTTCAAGATCACCAGTAGCTGTTTCAGATGTAATTACATTGCGGAATGTGATATGATCAGTTGTAGCTGTAACTGTATGCATTTCTTCTCGTTTAAACTCGCCTACATTGTCTGTAGTAGTAGTCTCGATGGTCTGAGCTACTAAATGCGTTGGAATGTCGAAACTGGCGGATTTGGTTTTCGGTTTTTCAGTTTCTGGAAGTAGACTCTCCTTATCTTCAGTTGTAATCGCTGAAATAATCAAACCTTCACCTGTCACAAACTCGAGATTCGCTTTTTTATCGTTAGGTTTAATCTTACTGAATGGTGCCTCTGTTTCTCTCGTCTGTACTTCTTCAGCAACTACAGCTTCGATAGGTAATATTGTAGTTTTAGGTTTCATCTCTTGAACTGTTTCATGCGGCAAATCACTCAAGCCTGTGTCACTCAAAATTTCAAATTTGGATGCTACTCCTTGCGTGATGATATCTACTGTAGCTTCTACACTTTTTGGTTTTTCTTCTTGAGTGAATATTCCCTCTTTATACTCAGGATGCGTCATATCTACCACAACACCCTCCCCTTCTTGGAATGTAACTTCAACGTTTTTGATATCAGGTCTCACGTCTTCTTGAAGAGGAGACTCTTTCTCAGAGATTGATATTTCTGTCTGCTCTACAACTTCTAATCCACTTTGTTGTTGATTAGCGTGCTCTTCTTTGACTTTTTCTTCCTTTAAAATTTTAATATTACTTGCTAGAACAGTCTCCTGCATTTCAGCTACCTCGTGTCCTTCAGTGATACCCAGTACAACTTTTCTTTCCTTTGGTATCTTCTCTATTTCTAATTTTTCTTCTTCCTGGATACTTGTCACCTCGATCACGGTTAATTTTTCGGTTTTCGATTGAATTTCAATTTCTGCATTTTGGATAGTTGGAAGAATATCTGTTTCTCTGGTCTTTTCAGTCTCGGCAATAGTTGTTTCTGTCACGATCAATTCTTCCAAAGCATCTCGTTGTGGTATAGCCTTTTTTGATTTCGGTTTATCGATGCTCATGTTAGCAGTACTTTGTTCCACCAAAGTCTCATATTTTAATGCAACTTTATGACCAGACACTAAAGTTTCAGCGGTATAATCTTGTGGTTTTACATCAGGACTGTACACATTCTCACGATCATGAGAAATAACTTCAAGAACAATTGGACCGGGTATAGGCTCGGTCAATTCGACAATCGCAGTTTTCTTATTTGGCTGTATTTCAGTCGTGTACAAATCTTCCTTTTCTGCCAATTCTTGCATAGCAATTGTTACACTTTCTAATGGAACGTGCGATGGTTGAGCCACACTGGAGATTGGTTTCTCTTCCGAGATATATTCTTCTGTCGGTGAGTGAGTTCTAACTTCTTCGAATACTGGCGCCACCTGTGTAGTAAATTCTGTAGTAGCATAAGCTCCTTTCACTTCAGAAATCTCAGTATATTCAGCTTCTTTCTCGCTGGCTATCACCATTGTGGTGCGTAAACTTTCAATCTCATTCATTATCACTTCGGCCATCTTGAATTCAGGAACTTTGTCTTTTTGAACCGGTGCTACATCTTCAACGATCACAGTTTCACCTATTATGGTTTCTTGCAAAGCAATAGGTTCTATTTTAGCGATACCAGACGATGGAATTTCCTTTTTTATCATGCCTAAATTATCTTCCGGTTGAGTCATTTCGATCTCCAATGAAACAATAGGATGAGTTGGTACTGCCTTTCCACGATGAGATTCTGGCATTTCGAAGATTTTTAGATCAGCTTCCTTCTCTATGGATGTAGTTTGGAATACTTCGACACTTTTAATTGCATCATAGCTTGTATCTACAACACGCTCTTCTGGTTTTACTAATTCCTCCATCTTTGCTTCACGATCATGGGTCATAGTTTCTTGAATCATTTTAGCCTCTATTAATTGTACAGCAATTGTTCCACTTTCTTGCACGTATTTCAATTCTTCCTTAAAATCAGATGGATAATCCGCTGTTTGAATCTCAGATATTTGCACATATTCTTCAGGTTTGATAGAAGTTTCTGCCAATACTTTGGTTGGTTTCTGATCAGGATGATATATTCCTTCAGACTCTTGAATGATAGTGCTCGCGATGGAACCGATTTCCAACAAGGAAATAGACATTTCAGCCGTTTTGATAGCTGGTTTGTCTCCGAGTTGATATTCTTTCTCTTTCTCAGATGGCACAGTTTCACTCGTCACTGCTGATGTGATCTCAATGATGTTCAAATCAGCCACTGCCTTCTTCATCTCTTCAATCGTCAAGTCACTTTCCGTATCTTGAGTTTGAACTGTGGACACGGAAACTCCTTCAAGCACAGTGACATTGGGCGTAGCTTCAAAAGTGTCAGTTTTTCTTTCTGAAATAAATACCCCTTCGCTTTCCTGTACGATATTTTGCTGAACTATAGCAGTTTCGTTTCCATAAGATATTCCAACTTGTGCTTTCTGACTAGGTGGTAATCTTCCTGGAACATACATGCCCTCCTTTTCAGGTGCGTGCATTTCCTCAGTCACTCGTTGTCGTTGAGGAATTACGGTCTCAGTAGCGACCTCTGTCGGAACTACAAGTTCTGGATAATACTTTCCTGGTTTGTCCTCTGCTCTAACCTCTTCCACGAGCAATGGTTCAACCGCAGTGACATTCACTCTAGGCTTAGTCGGTAAAGTCTTCAAGGGCTCTAATTTATCTTCCGTTAATCCTTCCTGAATCTCGTACACAGACAATCCTATTTGAGGAAGGATAGTGTCTTCTGCTCTGACAGTCGATGGTGACACGAAATCTTCCGTTGGAGCTTCCTTTTGACTTACCATGGTTTCATAAACAGTCGTGGCTTCCTGAAGAGTCACACTAACGTCTGCAGTTTTACTGATTTCCTGTTTATTAATGGTTAAACTGGATAATCCAGCATCGTTGGCCAGAGTTTCGCTGACTACCAGACTTTCGGATGGCACGATACCACATGTCGCTTCGTAGAATGTAGGTTTGAAAGTACCCACGAATTCGCCAGTAGAAGCTTGGACGGTTGTTTCCGTGATGGAGTAAGGTTCCATTGGCGAAATGGACAAGGATGCTTTCCGTTCTATGAGTTTAATTTGGCTAATATCATCGATTTCTTTCTCCTGAATAGGAACCAAATGCTCGGTTAACGGCGTAATGGTGTCCATTGTTAGTTTAGCTTTTTCCAATTCCGGTTTACCAAGTGCTTGCTCGATAGTACGGTCCAAAGGTATTATCTGATGACGTTGGCTAGGAACATTTAATATGAGGGAAGGCACAGATCTGTCTTCCTTTATCTCGAACTCTTCGATTTCTTCCATTTCAACCTCATCTCGTCCAATACGAGGTCTTTTAGGTGTCAATTCTTTTCTCTCTTTTTCTATGATCTCTTCTTCTTCCACATCCACGCGTTTCTTTTGTTTCTGAGCCAGTTTGCGCTTCGAGTCTGTCTCAACGATAATTGTCTCGATTTCTTCCTCAATCTCTTCCACATCCTTTCTCTTCTTCCTCCCGGTTTCGGTTTCCTCAATTTCCTCGATCTCTACAACCTGAACCCCCTCGTCCCTATCTTCTTTTCTCTCCTCGATTTGTTCCTTCGGTTTCGATAATTTTCGTTCGCGCAGTGTCGTGTGTGCCTGCCGTGTGTCCTCGTATTCTGTGGAAAGTATGTGAGAATATTCGTGTCATAATCATGAACGCGATTGCTCTCTCTTTCTCACGTTCTGCCTTTCGCTCGTTCGCTCGCTCGCTCAGTCTCACTTGCCGTTAGACGTGAAAATATCATTCCTTTACTTTTAATTCTATCTCTCTCTTTTTTTTTTTTTTTTACAGCAGCGTTTCATGCGCCGAACCATTGATGCGGATGCTGCTTGCTCAGACAACAGAATTCAACGTGCTTTAATACGATACAGGAGTGAGACAAAAAAACCTACTATTACGTACATTGCACGCCGGAACTTGTGTAAAAGGTAAAAAAAATAAAGTAAAAAATAAAAAAATTAAAAGAAAACAAAAAAGAAAATAAAACTAAGTGGATTACAGCGGATAAAATGTGAACAGCGTGTTTTTTATTTTATTCTACGCGGTTTCCAAAGGTATCGTACAATTTCCTTTCATTGTGCTGATATGAAGTGTTGGTCTTTTGAGGAGAATATTTAAATGTTAAACCAAAGAAGAGAAATAAATATTTTCGTTATATATATAGGATATTTCACGTATATTTTTGAAATGAAATCTTTGAATTTGAAATGAAATCTTTGAAAAAAAAGAAAAAAATAAAATAAAATAAAGTTTTACAGAATGCAATACATTCTTTATTAATTTTTAAATATTCATTCATATAAATTCTACATAATTTTTGTCAAATTATAATATTATCTTATTATAGAATTATCTTTTACAATAAAGTGTTTACTATTTATAGCTTCAAATTATTTAAAAATTATTACAATTTAAAATTTGCTAATCAGTTAATAATAGAAATAAACAAAATTTATATTTTAAACAACATGAAGAAGAAATAAAAAAAATATTCTTTCGCTTATGCAGAATATCCTATATATAATTTTATTGATAGCGCGAAACGAGATAATAGAAAATTATAATTTCTCATATCATCCTCAATAAGTCAGAAAACAGAACCTTGTCTGTCAAATAGTATAGATAATGTGCCCGTTTGTACAGTGAAAATGGATCGTTTTACAGTGTTTCTCATTATGTCATGGTACAACTTATTCGAGAGAATTGAATATTGGGTTTTATTTGGTTCGAATTACGATGTCTCTGGAATGTTTGCTGCGGTATCTAAAAGAGTAGTGTGACTAGTGCTTGAGTCGCAAGCACCCGGGGCATGCGTTGTTTAATAACAAGTAATATGCGGTGTGTAAATATCGTGTAGTGGCAGTGAAAATAAATATATATAATAGCCGGCCAGAAGTCAAACCAACATAAACCACAAAAAAAAAGAAAGAAAAAAAAGGAGACATTTGTCTGTTACACATCGTGCTTTGCTACTACGGCGATAAAATTAAGAAAAGAAAAAAAAATGCAGAAAATAAAAAGAAAAGAGGAGAGAAAATAAATTTTTGGTATAAAATAAGTCGCTAATATATCCTGTATGCAATATTGTTATAGATTCATGTGAGTGTGTAACTTGAATGTGTAACAGTAACAAGAAATACGGTACATTTGCATTCTAATATTGCAATACTAATTATTATGTAGAGAATATCAATACAAATGGATGACGTGTTACATGTTGCATCTAGAAACTATGAAATATTACAAATAATTCGGATAAATAATTCGGATAAATTTTTATTCTCAAATTGAAATTGAACAGTTTATAACGAAATTTTTCATTTATTAATTATTTTGATCAATTTTTTTAAAAGTAAAGATGAAAGAGAAAATTTAAACTTCTTAAAAAATATAAATATGATATTGCAGGTAAATAAAATTTTATCGCACGATTTCATAATGACATTCTATATTTTATTTCACAGTTCCTGGAAAAAGAATGTAAAACGAAACACGAGAAAGATACATGAAACGAAATTAAATAGAAAAATTATGATGAATTCATTGCCAAATGCATATATGTACGTATGAGATACAATGAATCGAAGCCGAAAACAAATTCTACTTACATTGAAACTGCGATTAGCAGAGCGAAGCTCAAAACGAGAAGCTTTATGGTGCTGGATCATTGATTCGGTCATGTGGATCGGATTATATGAATAATTTAGACGATTAAATAATAAGGAACAGGGAGGATTAATATATAATAGAATAAAGGTGGATACGGCGCGTGGAAAGCATAGCGGCATAAGCAGAACGATTTTACTGCTATTATTCGATCAAGTAAAGCTTCATGCATCTGAAAGAATAATAAAATATAATCATTACGTAGAGACCGTATCGTATAATCGATCGCGCACATTTTTTTTTTCTCAACGATTTTTTTGATCTACAATAATCGATATTAGTCAGCGCAAATGAGTTTTAAAAACACGATATGAATTTTTTTTATCATTAAACAATTAAGATGATCGATTCAAGCTTATAGCGGAATGTTTGATGAAGAATTTGATATCCATTCAGAATCACCACACTTTTTTCATTTAATGAATCCTTGATTGGCATCGTTGAATCGTGATATCCATAATTAAATATCACGAAAATAAATAATTTAATTATTTATAATTATGTTATTTATAATAGTAAAAATTAAAATGAAATAATCTTTTTTTTTAAGTAAATACAAAATTTTGTTGTAATAATTTAACTCAATTTTATATTGAAATTTATTAAAATAATATTTAATTTTATATTTGTTTTTATATCATTTTATATTTAAATATTTCATTTCAATGCTTATTTTGTATTTTACATAATAAACAATTCAATCTTGATTAAATATTCTAAAATTATATATATATATATATATATATATAATACTAATCAAGGATTAAAAATTATCTCTAAAAATATTAATTTTTGTTGATCATATATAATATGAATCATAATATAAAAGTAGGAAAAGGAATATATATAAATTTAAATTCAAAAAAATTAAATCTACAAGAAATCTACAAGAAATATTTTAAATAAAATTAAAAATTGAAAAATAAATAAAAGAATTGGAATATTGATGTGGTGTCGACTGTCTGGACACTGAAATCTTAGCATTGAAGAAAATGATAGAAGATAGTATTAATGATGGTATCCATTCGTGATTCGAATTCCGAATAATACGAATGTATATCCCATGCATTGAAACTCGTTGCTTCAAACCTTTAATGTCTCGAATATCCTGCGTGCGGACGGCTTTTCTTTCGTCCCTCCTCTCTGCAATCAGAAAATCCATAGTTTCTTTCGTAGGAGTTTTTGGGAACGGGGTGAAGACAAGTGAAAAGAGCAAAAAAACATTCAAAAGAAAAAAAAAAAGAAAGAATACACACAGAATTATGGCACGTGGTAAAAAAATGTCTTTTATTCAATATTATTCAAGATGTACAATACATAAAATACAAACATGGGAAGAAACGTTCAGTTTCTTCTTTCTTATTAAATTATATTTACAAAAAAAGAAGAAAAAGAAAAAAAAACGAAAATAAAACGCATGCTTATTCGAGCTTATATTAGTGGACTATATACAAAAAATTAAAGTATAAAAAAAAAGAAAACATGTACAAGTTATGTATATAGGCAGCCACGCAAGCACACACCAAAATATGATAATAAGATGCTTTAAATGTTCATTAAAATGGAAAAGACAAGCTGCAATGATTTTAACATTGCATTGTTCGTGTTTTATAAGTACTTTTTCTTTCTTTATTTATTTATTTATATGTTTCAAACTTCACGCCGCATTCTCCACTTACCCATGAAATGGACCTCCGTTTTGTGAATGACATCCACCCGTTCCGTAATGCGTTCCTCCGTTTCAACCTATAAATGATTAGTATGCTTCTAATTAAAATTTATTATTATTATTATAATCAAAATTGTTGATTGTACTTAAATTTTCATTAAAAAATTTTTTGAGAATAAAAGAAATATATAATTTTAGAAAAATCCAAATCAAATTTCAAGCGATTCTAAAATCTTTACATAGTAAGCATCACGTTAGAACGCAGAGAAAAAAGTAAAAAACAATTCCTTACTTCCGTGGCTTCTGTAACCTCCCAAGCTCGCGGCCGGAAGTCCTCCGGTGCGAAATGAGTGAGGACCTCTTCAACGGTGACGTGTTGCAACTCGATCATCCTCATGAAGGCGCGGAAGCCGACGGTAGCGGCCACCACACTCTCGTCAGTAGTCGTTTCTTCTGTCAGAACTTGGGTGATCAATGGCCCATGACCCTCCCTCTCGACCAATTGGACAAGCGCATTCTGAGCCTCGGGGGTTTTCAGCGCAGGGAAATTGTCCGTTCTGTACAAGCTCTCGTTGATCTCGTTCACAGAGACACCCTGGCGTACCAAGAAACCGATGGTGGCCAATTCTCGAAGAGGAGCCTCCCCTGGCCCGAACTCTTTTGCGTGAAGCGTCTCCATAATTTCCTCCACCTCTCTCGCGATACTCTCCCTCTGTCTCTCCACTATTTCCTCGATGCTCACCTCCTCCCTCGCCTTCAGCTTCTCCTTCTTCTTCTTTTTCGGCTTCTCCTCAATCACGATTTCTCTTGGACGCTCCTCCTCCTCTGTGACCACGGTTTTCTTCGCTTTCCTTCTCGTGTCCACTCGTCTGATCTCTTGGACGCTGGCCTCCGTGTGCACCTCCGACACGGACACGGTTTGCAATGTCTCCGACGTGACCTGTGCACGATCGACCACCGATTCTATCGTGAAATCATGGGCCGTGTCCTCGACGGCCATTTCTGAAACCACCACTCCCTCTCGCTCCTCCACCACCCTCTTCGCGCGCTCCTCCGTCTTCGGTATAATTTCCCGCTCTTTCTCATCGTCAATTTTCTTCAGTGACGCGGTCGCCTCTGTTATTAGGGGCTCTTGGATCGGCACCACTTTCTTTGCTCGTGTTACCTGCATCGAATAGGATTATTTATCGATTTATTCGTTTGGGGAAAGGGTAGAGGGATTAATTGATTAAGGGATAAGAAGAAGAAAGTTGTGGAAGGAAAAAAGAATCTATGATTTTTGATATATTTGATATATTTTCATTTACCTCTGTCGGTTGTTCTTCAATAATTTCTGTCGTTTCAAGCGTTTGAGTTTCTTCGATATCCACAATTTTCCTGAACAACAAATTGTCAATGTAATTTGCACGTATTCATATGCTCTTTATGAATATTTAATAATATTTAATTCAACTAACTTTTCTTCTGGCTGTTCCTTGGGAACCAGTTTCTCTTTATGTAACTCCTTTTTGTCTACCTTCACACGTTCCCCTTTGATTTTTTCCTTCGTCTCTTTAGCCTTCTTCATTTCTGGCTTCTTCTTCTTGTGAGGCTTCTCTTCTTCTGGCTTCTTCTTAGGTTTCTCCTCTACCACTTGCTCCTCGAACTGTTCTTCGTCCATGAAGATTTCCTTGCCAGTTATTTCTGGATAATTGTACATTATAATTAAAAATGATATTCGTACGTTATTTATTAATATTATTAATTATTAATTATTAATATAATTATTTATTAATATATTCGTATTAAACTTAAAAGGTGTATTTAAAGAACAGTACCTGTTACATGTAGTTTAGCTTTCGTTGTTGTTAAACCTATCTCACTTGTAGCTTTGCACACGTAAGTGGCATCGTCTTCTTCGGTCGCGTGTTTAATTGTCAATATTGTCTTTTTCTCCTCGTCCAAAAGACGTATTTTCACGTTCGGGGTATTGGTGATCATCTTATCGTTCTTATACCATACAACGTCTAGAAATTATCGATGTTAATCAGTAAAGATAAATTAGTTAAGTTAAGATTAATATACTCATTTTTAGAAATATAAAAAAATATAAAAATACGAAAAGTAATATAAGGTATTTTTATGATACCTGGAACAGGATTGCCAGAATATATGCATTCGAACACCGCGGTTTCACCTTCCTTCGCATAAACATCGGTAATCTCTTGAATGAATCGTGGTACAGATTGCGTGGCTAAGAATAAAATACGTCAATTAAAATTATTAAAATGAACAGAAAGAAGAAAAAAGAATACATAATACAAGAATATATAATACATCAATACAGAATACAATCAAAAATCTCCAACGAATAATTTACCTGATCTTTTGATTGGTGATTGTGCGACTCGCGTGACTCCGATGTCAGTAATCTGGTTAGAAAGAAGAACAAAAACACACGTACACAAAAAGATTCATCATGCGAAAAAAAAAACAATCTCAATGTGAAGAAAACACAGAAAAAAAAAGTCGATATTAAATCGTTAACGATTCGATCGACAATAATACCTGACATGGTGCCTCTTTCATCTTCGCTATGATGCTCGTTGCACGATACCTCGGAAGTCGATATATTTCCGGCCAGACCGAGGTTTCCGCTGCACTGACTTTCCAGCAACAAAAATTCTTGCAACTCCTCTTGGCTATCCGCCGTATGCAACTGTTGGAATGCCTCCAAATCGATCTCTCTCGGCTCCAAAGGATACATCTTCGGATCCATCATCAAGTTTCCGAAACGACGTTCCTTCGACCATCTGGCCACGGGTATCCTCGACTTTGGATAAGTGTGATACTTCCTTGCATGATCGTACTCCATAGACGTTTCTATCATTTTTCCATAGTGCTCGACAACTTGTTTGCTCTGCCCACTTCCGGTCGAGGCTTCGCTGTTCTCCTCTATAGGCGAAAGATAAAAACCAGCCTCTTGGATGTTCGAAAGATCGGATCTAGCCTGAGTCTTCCTCTCGGACCTCGGAGGCGGAAACTCGTCGAAATCCAACACGATCTTCTTTCTCCTTTCACTTCTATTCTCACTTTCAATCGATACTTTGTCCACGCTCTCCATTCTTCTACACGCGACCTCGTCGCTGCTTATAGAGGCCTCCTCTTCTTTGAATTTCGCATATTTCGTCGCGATCAATTTATCATTGGATCTTACTTCTCGCCTCGATCTCGTCGGTGAAGGAGACTTCACGTTTCTGTGTTTCTCGCTCGACTCGTTCATCTTTGAACACTTCGCCTGGTCAGGGGATGGAGATCTAGCTTTCACATTCGTTCCCTTTATCGATTTTTCCACCGTCAGAAGCCTGGACGATCTCATCTTGTGCACATTGGAAGATTTGCCACTTGTGCCACTTGCAGAATCTCGCCTGTTCTTCGCGGGATGCGATTTCGTCTCCGTGCCCTTCTTCGCGACACTCTTCTCCTCCGTGCTCTCCAATTTCTTCTTTCTCACCACTTTACTCACCCTCTCGGTTCTCGTCTTTTTATCCACTTTGCTTTTCTGCCCTTCACTTTTCGATTCGCGTTTCGTGCTTTCGAACAACACATTTTCTACGCATTCGAAAGAAGAAGTTTCTTTGTTAGACGCGCTCATCTCCCACGAGTACTCGGTGGTGGTGATCTCTTGCTCGATTTCCAGAGAGTCTGAGAATCTTCTCGACAGGAAGAATCCTTTTTGGTGAGGATCTTCTTCCTCGAAACACCTCTTACCTTCGTCGTCGATGTTCATCAAGGTTCTCGTCGAGGAGAATTCGCTGATCATCGTCGAGCTGTCCCTTTGAGAACCTTCCTCCCTAATGGCTCGATCCAGGCTATCCGTGGAAAAGCTGCACTCCGCCTCACTCAACATGCAATCGATCGCCTCAGATTGGCGTCTCTTACCTCTTAGAGCTTCTTGCATCTCCTCCATCTGGGTGACCCATGATGGCTTCCTGTACTCCTTCGTTCCGACGATTCCTATATGATAAAACTGTCGTTAGACACGTGTGGAACGTTTCGACCCTTCCAGTTCCATCCTTCAAACGGTGCTAAAATTTTCTCAAGCTTTCAAGTTATACAAAGCATTTTATCTCTCGTTTCTTGACTTTCGAATTGTTACGTGAAATTGTTTAATATTTCAATTTTTCGTGAATATTTTTTTAGAATATATTTGTTAACAATTTGTGTTGAAATTTGGTTATTATTGTTGCAAATCTCGAAATTTCGCTAGAGAATATTTAAAACTATAATCAGATCATTTATTAATATTTTATAATTAATTTTATAAAGTTTGAAATTATTATTGTAAAGATTTTGAAAATATTAGGATAAGAAAGTATTTTCGTTATTATAAAATATTGCATGAAAATAATTTTAAAAAGTAATAAAATTCTTCAAAATTTTAAAAAATTTATACGTAGAAATTTCATTGTACGAGATATTTTTAAAAATAAATTAAAAATTTCTTCTCAAATTTGAAATTTCCATTTTCCGTGAATCTTAAAATTTTTCACGATTGTAAAATTTATATCCTCGATCATGATCCCAATTGTCGTTCAACAATCATCAATTTTACGCAATGATTCGACGGCCAACAGATGGAACTTAAAGGGTCTCAGCTAGTTGGCGGAAATTTTAACAAAATAATAGAAAGAAAAAAAAGTGTAAATGATAGGATGTAAGTGTTCAGTGTGAGTTTCAAGATATTTATGAGGAAGGTTTGGGAAGAGCGTTGGGGGATTCTCGATGACGATTCCGATCGAAGAAGAGCGCAGCTGAAAATAACTTTTGTCAAGCAGATTAGCGAAGCATTCACTACTTTTTTTTTTTTTTTTAATATCGTCTTTCAGGATTAATGAATCGTTACCTTCTACCGACAGATAGGTGGTCGTGGTCGATACGCCGAGTGGATTGTGCACCTCGAACACAATCTCACCCATGTCGTCTGGATAAGTTTCGGCTATCGTTAACACGGAAGTGCCATCCTCGAATTCCTCGATCAGGAATTCTTGGGACGGCACGATCTCGACGCCCTGCTTGTACCATTTTCCTTCTGGTTTTGGTTTTCCTTTCACTTTCACTTCCAACCTAAAGAAAGAAATAATGATTGGCGCAATTTTTGAAATTGTTTGGATTTAATTTAATTTATCTAATTATTAGGATAATTAATTTTTACCTGATGAATTATTATTGAAATAATTTAAGAAAGTATTAAAATAATTGAATAACAATTAAATATATATTAATATTGTGGTAATTTTTAATATATTTAATAGTTATTAAAAATATTTTAATAATATTTTTTTTTAATCTTCTTCATCTTTTACCTGGTTAGTTCTCCGACTTTGGTAGGAATTAGTTGAGGAAGTTTCTTTACTATCTCCGGCGCAGATTCCTCGTCCGTGTCGAACAAAGGTGTTTCCTAGAAATGGAAAGAAATAATCACGAGTTGTAATCAAAGAAATATCGAGATTGAAATATTGAAATTCGTATATAAAATACCTTTGGAGATAAAAGATCCTCCTCCGAACCGCTTTGCCCTGTAGTAAGAGACGTCGCGACAATCGAAGAAGCGATCTCTGAATCCGGTACATACTCGTACGCTAAAAATCAAAATATTCCTCGTTATAAAATTTTTTGACATTCACTAATAAACGACAAATCCTTTTCTTCTATATATTTTGATACAAAATCTAATCTAATCATAATTAATTAACTTAAGAACGATCAAACAAACTCAAAAGTCCATTTCTTACCTTCCACGATAAGCGACGACGTGCAAACCGCTTCTCCAACAGGATTCACGGCACGACAAGTGTATTCTCCAGCATCCTCTGGAAAAACTTCGGTTATGGCCAAACTGCAAACGCCTTCCGTGTCTTGCACGATCGTGATCTCCTTGCCCTCCTTGATCGGTTTATTGTCGTGATACCACTCGACCCTGGGCGTGGGTTTTCCTTGGACGATGCACGTCAGGTTGGCGCTTTCACCGTCCATGACCCTGACCGGCGACAACCGTTTGACAAACGTCGGTGAAACCAGCTCCACGGTTTCCTCCCAAGGCGTATCCAACAGATTTATGGTCGCCGTGCAGGTGACAGATCCGCCAACGTTCTCCGCACGACAAGTGTACGTACCCGAGTACTCGGGTTTGATCTCCTTGATCATTAGGATCGATTTGTTCTCTTGCGTTACGATCCTCACCTGTGGCGTGGACTGCAACGGAAAGTTATTATATTTGCGTGATGAACTGTACAATTAAATCGCACTTTTTGTTTATTTTTTGGCATGGTTATAGATGTGAATATATCGGGACTTTTCTTACTTCTTATTTTTAAATCAAGTATCGTTTTGTTGTATCATATTTGTACATTGATATCTTGGATATTAAGAAAAATTATTCTATTACACAATATTTTTGTAGATTTATGAAAATGTTGTTGTAAATGAAATAAATAAATGAACTCCAATGAATTACTATTGTATAGTATATATAAAAATTTTGAAGATAATAAGAATATCAGGAAGTAGAAGAATTTATCAACGAGAAGAAAATCTGGGATACCTCCAAAGGACGAGTATCGTGGAACCATTGGAAGGAGGCTGTCGGATAGGAATCGACACGTGTTTCCATGATCACGACTTCTCCCTCGGTTACGATTTGCGGTTGCAGCGGCTCGATAAATCTCGGTGCTTTCACCTCGTCCGTCTTGTCCTCTCGTTCCTTCACCGTCACAGAGCCAGAGCTTCTCGCCTCACCGACAGGATTTTCCACTCGGACCTCATACTTCCCTCCATCCTTCTTCGTCACCTCAGGAATGTACAACTCGGTCGTGTTTTCGTAAATCTTAATCACACGCTTGTCAGACGGTACGATCTCGGCACCGTTGCGGTACCATTTCACTTCCGGTGTTGGTTTGCTCTCGAAATCAGCGGACAACGTCAAAGGCTTTCCAAACTCGGCGACCAAGGCTGGCAGGGGTCTGGTGATTTTTGGCGCCCTCAGAACTTCCGGTTTGCTCACCCTCACCACGTTACTGATCACCAGATTCGCTCTGCATTCGGCGCGTCCGAATTTATTCACGGCCCGTACGCGATATATAGTCTCGTCCTCCTCGGTCGGCTCCAATATGCGCAACTTCGCCTCCCCAGTTTCCGGATTGAACGTGATCTCTCTGCCCTTTTTCGGTTTCAGCTCTTCTTCCCCACGATACCACTTCACTTCCGGCATCGGTGTACCGGTGACGATGCACTCGAGCAGAGCTGGCTTGTGCTCCTCCACCATGAGAGGTTTTATCGGTGTCGCGAAATGTGGCGCTATACCCTCTTCCTCTTTTTCTGCGGAGAAAGAAAACGTTGTGGTAAGTTTATGCCAATTATAGGGGAGAATAGTTGACAATGTAAAACTTCGTGCAAAATGTATTCTTGTAGGTGGGATTACGGTTTATTATTTTGATTATAATAGTTGTTGCGAGTAGCTGGGAATTATTTTTATTTACTTAATTGAAACTGGAAAACAATTAACAAAGGTAACAATCAATAAAGGTAATGATTAATTTTTTCTTTGTAAATGAGGCGTGCAATCTTGACACTTGAAAATCTTTAATTTTAAAGTGTCGATATGAAGTATGTAAAATTATCCTGTAATAAAAAAGAAAACACGCAAGCGCAAAAAAAAACAACGTTTAAACATCTTCCTAAAATATAATAAATTTAAAAGACGTTAAAAAAGAATTGAAAACGATCACACAGAGGACGTCACAACACACAGATCTAGTACCAAATATCACGAGATTGACGGTGGACGTGGCTACTCCAGCCGGATTCGACGCTCTGCAAGAATACATTCCAGCGTCCTCCTCCTTCACCTTCGTTATCTCCAACGTTGCGGTCGTTTCGTAGATGGTCATTATGTACTTCTCACTCGCATGAAGCTCCTGCTCGTTTCTGTACCAGGTAATTTCGGGGAATGGATTGCCAAATACTGTACATGTGAATTTCGCGGTTGTTTCAGGTTGCGCGATAACGGGTTGAAGTTTCTGAATAAATCTCGGTGCAATTTTCTTATCTTTATCCGTGATAGATATCTCGACTTGCGTACGTTGCTTGTGTTTTCTCCTACGATCCTCAACTTGGACTTTTTTCTTCTCGACCTCGACTACATCTTCAACAATCTTTTCCACTTTAGTCGCTTCGATCACTTGAACTTCTTTTTCTACAGGTACAGGTATCTCTTCTGGTTTCTTTTTAGGTTTCCTCCATGATATTTCGGTCACCTTCTCTTCCTCTATCTCTTCTTCTTCAAGTTTCTTCGGTTTTTCTAATTTTACCGGTTTCAATTCTGATATTTCTTCCTTCTTAGGTTTCTCCTCGAGTTTCTCCCTCTTGACAGGTTTCAAAGTCACCTTTTCGGGTACTTCTTCCTCCTGTGGTTTTTTGGGAACAGGTTTCAGACGAATTTCATCTTTCTCGACTTCTTCGGGTACTTTTTCCTTTTTGACAGGTTTCAGAACGATTTCTTCTATTCTTTCTACAAACTCCTCGCGTTTCTCGACTGGTTTCAACTCGACTACTTCTTTTTCTTCTTCCGGTTTCTTCGGTTTTCGCCTCTTTCTCCAAGAGACTTCCGATGTTTCAGTGACATCTTCAATAACTTTATCTTCCTTGAGTACCGTTTCAGGTTTAATTTCTTCAACTACGACTTTTTCTTCGATGATCTCTTTTACTTCTTTTGTCGGTCTTCTCCATGGAAGTGCAGTTTCTTCCGGTTTCTCCTCTTTGATTTCTTTTACCTCCATTTGGATTATTTTTTTAGCCTCTACTTTTTGTTCCACGATCTTTGTCTCTTCTTCGTGTACCTCTGTAATCATTTTCTCTTGATCGATTGGTACCACCGTGACTTCTTCTCGGAAATCGACAATCTTCTTTGTCTTCTTGCCACGACGCCATGGTAATACTTTTTCCTCCTCATCTTCAGGTTTCTCTTCAATTTTTTCAGGAACAGGTTTTGGAACTGGTTCTAATTTCACTTCTTCCGGTTTTTCCTCTTTTGGTTTCTCAGAATGTTTGATTGGTTTTAATTTAACTTCTTCAGGTTTTTCTTCTTCTGGCTTTTCTTTCTTTATCGGTTTCAAAATTACTTCCTCTTTTTCTTCTTCTTCCTTTGGCAGAAGCTTGACAGGTTTTAATTTGACTTCCTCTGGTTTTTCTTCTTTTGGTTTTTCTACATGTTTCAGAGGTTTTAATTTCACTTCTTCAGGTTTTTCTTCCTCTGGTTTTTCTTTCTTTATTGGTTTCAGAGTTACCACTTCTTTTTTCTCTTCTTCCTTAGGAAGACGTTTCACAGGTTTCAATTTTACTTCTTCAGGTTTCTCTTCTTCCGGCTTTTCTTTCTTTATTGGTTTCAGAGTTACCACTTCTTTTTCCTCTTCTTCCTTAGGAAGTCGTTTTACAGGTTTCAATTTCACTTCTTCAGGTTTTTCTTCCTCTGGTTTTTCTACATGTTTTACAGGTTTCAATTTCACTTCTTCAGGTTTTTCTTCCTCTAGTTTTTCTTTCTTTATTATAGGTTTCAATTTCACTTCTTCAGGTTTTTCTTCCTCTAGTTTTTCTTTCTTTATTGGTTTCAGAGTTACCACTTCTTTTTCCTCTTCTTCCTTAGGAAGTCGTTTCACAGGTTTCAATTTTACTTCTTCAGGTTTCTCTTCTTCCGGCTCTTCTTTCTTTATTGGTTTCAGAGTTACCACTTCTTTTTCTTCTTCTTCCTTAGGAAGACGTTTCACAGGTTTTAATTTCACTTCTTCAGGTTTTTCTTCCTCTGGTTTTTCTTTCTTTATTGGTTTCAGAGTTACCACTTCTTTTTCCTCTTCTTCCTTAGGAAGACGTTTCACAGGTTTCAATTTTACTTCTTCAGGTTTCTCTTCTTCCGGCTTTTCTTTCTTTATTGGTTTCAGAGTTACCACTTCTTTTTCTTCTTCTTCCTTAGGAAGACGTTTCACAGGTTTCAATTTTACTTCTTCAGGTTTCTCTTCTTCCGGCTTTTCTTTCTTTATTGGTTTCAGAGTTACCACTTCTTTTTCCTCTTCTTCCTTAGGAAGTCGTTTTATAGGTTTCAATTTCACTTCTTCGGGTTTCTCTTCTGCTGGTTTTTCTATATGTTTTACAGGTTTCAATTTCACTTCTTCAGGTTTTTCTTCCTCTGGTTTTTCTTTCTTTATTGGTTTCAGAGTTACCACTTCTTTTTCCTCTTCTTCCTTAGGAAGTCGTTTTACAGGTTTCAATTTCACTTCTTCGGGTTTTTCTTCCTCTGGTTTTTCTTTCTTTATTGGTTTCAGAGTTATTACTTCTTTTTCCTCTTCTTCCTTAGGAAGTCGTTTTACAGGTTTTAATTTTACTTCTTCAGGCTTTTCTTCTTTTGGTTTTTCTATGTGTTTAACTGGTTTTAATTTAATCTCTGGTATTTCTTTTTCCTCAGGTTTCTCATCTTTACGTTTAAATATTATTTGTTCCTCGATCCTTTTAGGTACTTCTTCTTCAGGTTTCAGTAATTGTTCGGATTTCACTTTTTCCTTTGCTAATTTCTCTGTTGTTTTTTTACCACGCCGCCATGGCAATTCAGTCTTTTCTTCAAGAATTTCACCATTTTCAACTGTTTCTGGTTTCTCCAATTTTGCTGGTTTAAGTTTCACTTCTTCAATTGTTTCTTCCTCTTTTGGTATTTTCTCAATCGGTTTCAATATTACTTCTTCCTTTTCTACTTTTTCATCCGGTCTTTTTTCTTTTTTTGCTGGTTTTAATTTAACTGTTGTGAAATCTTCCACTTTTTCTTTTTGCACTTTCTCCCGTGGTTTACGCCAACTAACTTCTGGTTGTTCTTCTTCCATTTTTTTCTCTTCAATTGTGATTTCGGTAACTTTTTGCTCGATAGGTTTCTTTTTGTCACGTCGCCAAGGTAATTCTGATTCAATTGGTTTTTCTTGTTCGATTGGTTTCAAGATTTTCTCTTCTTTCTCTTCGATCTTCTTCTCTGGTTTTGGTTTCTCTACCGGTTTCAATTTAATTTCCTCAGTGCTTTCTTCCTTTTGAGGAATACGTTTCACTGGTTTCAATGTGATTTCCTCCTTATCTTCCCGTTCCTCAGGTTTTTTCTCTCGTTTAACCGGTTTCAAAGCTATTGATTTGAAATCTTCGATCGTTTCTTCTTCCTTTTTAATTACTTTTTCCTCTACAATCTTTTCTGCTATTTTTTCAACAGGTGTTTCAGGAATCGACGGTTTTTTTGGTTTCCATGATATTTCTTCAACTTCCTTTATTTCTTTTTCTTGTGGTTTTTCCGGAAGTGTTTTTGGGATTACAGTTGGTTTTTCTTCCGGTTTTTCTCGTTTAAATGATTTTAACTGTACTTTTTCCTCTTCTGGTGCTTCAGGTTTAGGTTTCTCGAATGGTTTCAATTCTGGTTTCTTCAATTTCTCTTCTTCTGGTTTCGGTTTTTGGAATGGTTTCAATGTCACTTCTTCACGTGGTTTCTCTTCAGGTTTGGATTTCGGAATGGGTTTCAATTGCACTTCCTCCTTCTCTTCTTCTTCACGTGGAATGCGTTTGACAGGCTTCAATGTTACTTCTTCTAGTTTCTCTTTCTCTTCCGGTACACGTTCGCGCCTGACTGGTTTCAACATGACAGATTTGATATCCTCAACCGGTTCCTCTTTCTTTTCCGGTATCTTCTTTGTCACCTTCTTATCTCGAAGCCATGGAACTTGCATTGTTTCCAATTTTTCTTCTTCCTCTACTGGTTTTTCATCAAGTTGTATTTGTAGAACTTCTGGTTTTTCTTCCTTTGCTTTCTTTCCTCGCGCCCATGGAACCGGCACTTCCTCCTTCGCCTGTTTCTCAGTCGTCTTTTCAGTCTTTTCAACGTCAAGGAGAGTAGTATCCTCTTCTTCGTGATAAGGAATTTTTTCTGTGGGTTTTTTCTTGCCTCTGACCCAAGGTACTGGCACTTCCTTCTGTTTCTCCGTGAATTCGACATCTTTCCCTACATCTAATATCGTTTTATCTTCTTCCTCATGATATGGTATCTGTTCCTTCGGTTTCCTTTCTTTTCTCCAAGTCGCTACTTTTTCTGTTTTGTCTTCCTCAATTTTTTCTTCTCTGTCTATTTTCAAGACTTTCGTATCTTCTTTCTCTACAAATTGAGTTTTGTCAATCATTTTTTGCAAATCTACTTTCTCCAATGTTTCCTTCTTTATTTCTCTTTTTTCTGTTTTAGTTGGTTTCAAGATCACTTCTTCCAAACTTTCCCTTCGAACTTCTTTCTGCTCGACTTTAGCTTTCTTTAAGGTTATTTTCTCTTCAGTCCAAGGCTTAGTTTCTGAAATTTTTCTTTCAACTTCTTCCTTTTTCTTTACTTTTTTATCGATCTTGACAGTAGTTTCGGTATCCTTGGTGACCTGAAGAAGAGTCGTATCATCTTCTTCAACGACCACCTCTTTTTCTTCAGATTTTTTAGGAACTTCTTTCTTAGGAATAGGTTTCAAATCTACCTCTTCGAGACTCAATTTTTCTATATCTGCCTTTTCTGGCCTGGATGGTTTTAATTGTACAGTTTCGAACGTTTCTTTCGATATTTCTTTCTTTTCAGGTTTGGCTTTTTTCAATGTTATTTTCTCTTCCGTCCAAGGTTTAGCTTGTTCCACCTTTTCCACTGAGATCGACTCTTTCCTCGTTTTCTTCACTTGCGTATCTTTGGAAATATCAAGCAATGTCGTGTCTTCTTGTTCCATGTAATCAGTCTTTTGTACGATTTCTTTCATCGTTTTCTCTGTTTCCTTCGTGACAGCTTTAAGATCCACTGTTTCTAAACTCTCTTTTCGAATTGAAGTTTTCGTTATTTTCGATGGTTTTAATTCAACTGTTTCTATCGTCTCCTTTTCAACTTCTTTTTTCACAGGCTTAGCCTTCTTTAATGTAACTTTTTCTTCAGTCCAAGGTTTAGGCTTCTCTTCCGGTTTCTCCTCAATTTTGTCTTTTTTTACTTTCTTCAGTTCTTCAGTCTTTGATACCTCTAATAAAGCAGTATCCTCTTCTTCAAAATATTTAGTTTTTTCAGTGATCTTTTTCTCGGTAATTTTTTCAGTCACTGTCGTTGAAACAGGTTTCAAGTCCACTTTCTCTAAACTTGGTTTTCGATCAGGTAATTTTTCAATCTTCGATGGTTTTAATTCCACAGTTTCTATAGTTTCTTTCTCAATCTCTTTCTTTACTGGTTTAGATTTCTTCAAGGTAATCTTCTCTTCGGTCCAAGGTTTCGCTTGTTCTACTTTTTCCTCTATCTTTTCTTTCTTTAATTTCTTCACTTCTTCAATCTTAGTCACATCTAACATCGACGTGTCCTCTTGTTCAAGATACTCAGTCTTCGAAATCGTTTCCTCAGTAATCTTCTCAGTCACTGTAGGAATAGATTTCAAATCAACCTTCTCCAAAGTAGCTTTCTCGACCTCCTTCTTAACAATCTTTGAAGGTTTCAGTTCTACAGTCTCTAAAGTCTCTCTAGGAATCTCCTTCCTATCGAGTTTTGATTTCTTTAACGTAACCTTCTCTTCGGTCCAAGGTTTAGTTTCTTCCTTTTTCCTCTGAACAGTTTCATCTATTCTTCTCGAGGTTTTGATAAATCTAGAATCCTCTTCTTCCACGTAAACTTTTTCCGTAGTCTTATCCAATTGACTGATCTTCTCTTCTTCAGTTTTTACTTCTTTCGTCATTTCTCTAACAACAGGTTTCAGATCAACCGCTTCAAGGCTAGTTCTTACAATATCTTTCTTCTCAATTTTTGTTGGTTTCAACTCGACTTCCTCCAATTTTTCTCTTGGCGTTTCACGAGGCACTTGCGGAGTTTTCTTCAACACTACCGCTTCCTCTGTCCAAGGTTTCACCTGGCCTTCCACGGGTTGCAATTTGTCCAAAGATGTGTCGCGAGATTTCGGTTTCGTTTTCCTCCATGGCGTCACGTCGCCAAGTCGAGGTCGATGATGAACCCGTCCCTTTCTCCAAGGTAACGATTCGTCAGATTGCAAGGGTAAACTTTCGATTGGCAATCCATTCTCGTCTAGAGTCAATGGCTCTAGGACAATGTCTCTTCCATAATCTGTCGATGGTTTTACACCTGGTCCCATCTCAGCAGGAACCTCGTAATACGCTCCTTTCCTCTCTGCAATGGTACACACGCGCCAGAATAATTTTAAATCGCGTTTCAGAATGGCGATCGTTGAATCATCACTCGTTTCAGGGAAAGAGATATCTGATTATCATGCTAAAAACAAGCTGGCAGACTGGTACGCGAAATGAAATGTGGATCGGGTAAGTGATTTATTAGTGTATGTTAAATTATCGTTTTAAAGATTTAATGATTCGTTTCTTGTGTTCTAGTGGAATATGGTGTAACGAATTATCTTTAATTAGTTATAGATAGATATAATCATGTATTTATAATTAATTATAAAAATTAGTTTGTTATATTATTTGTATTTTATGGTAAGTTAATGCAATATATACTTAAGATTAATTGGTAATATGTAATGATTTTCAATAATCATTTTAAATATATATAGTTAAAAAGATTTAAAAGTTGTAATATTGATTGATTTTTATGAAAACAATTTGTAAACTTATATAAATATTTAATATATAATTATTTACTATATGATAAATTATCCAAGAAAAATTCAATTAATCAAGAATTACAAGTCGATCATTTAATTATTTTATTTTTCATTGGAACTAATTTTTTTTTGTTTGCTATTGTAACTCTCCGAGTTACAAGAAGTATCAAAAATATTAAAAAATTATTTTATAGAGTAAAATTATTTCAACTTTGAAATATCACATACAGAAGAAATAATAGATATATGTCATTATATGAATCATATTCATGAATCATACATACATATGTCATCTAATTAATATTTCATAGAATATGCAAAATATTGTACTCATAATTACAATTATAGCAATTACGTTTGTACACAAATTCTTACTTAATATTCAAAACATCAACAGGAACGAATAACGATTACTCAACCGAATTCAAAAATTGTAGTGCCAAGCAAAAAGATATCAGGATTAGATACGCATAAAAACAAAAGATTTACTTTCATTCGTAAATCGTGTCAAAATTCCTCTACGAATCCAACAATAAAAAGTTTACGTTTCTAGTTCACGACTCAACGCTAAACACAACTCGTGAACTGTGAAACGGAAAATTGAAACGATCCAAAATGATTTATTTTCAATTTCTGTGCTCCCCTTGTATCTCGATTTCACGAACAATGCCGTCATTTATGCTGTAACATGCCAAACGAGAGCCCATCCAAGCGGAGGATATTTTTAATTATTACTACCACAGCCACCGAACAACTCGAATAAAATGAACGAGTCTGAAGGAAGGATGGAATAATTAGATCAACCGAGATTGCAAACAGGAAACGAATCATGTTTCATTTTAATATGATACATATAGTCAGTCACACAAGTCTTGACAGACAAATCCAACTAATAAATTGTATTATCAAAACTAGCAATAATTCTGTTTCATATGAAACTCTGTAAACAGATCCCAACGGTGTAAGCTCTTTCTTTATTTCTTCTTCATTTATTAGATAAAAAGAAATGTTAAAATTTCAATCAAATAATAATAATAATAGCTTTTGTTAAAATTAATAAAATTTTTATACATAAATGATTTAATAAAATTTGTCATTACTATAATAATAACTTATAAATTTAATAAATCTATATGAAATTTTTGTTATATATGTAAAATTGCAACATAAATAAGATGAGTAAATAATTTAACTTGATCTTGGATAAAATAAATAATAAAATTGGCAGTGATAATCAAAATCTAATATTATTCATTAGAATTAATTTTATTCGTTTAATAACTTTAAAAGGATGAAATCGATCCTTGAAATATTATTTTTTATTTCTTTTTCAAAATAATAAATTTGAAACTGAATTTGAAATCTAAAATATTTAGATTTTAATACCTTTTAAAAAATATTTCGAAAGAAAATTCTATATACGAAATAAATTGTTTCGTATACATAATTTTTTGTAACAATAAGTTTTCATTAAAATCCAATTTTTCAAAATTGGCAAATTCTCATTACAATATTTGAAGATACTTTTGTGACTGACTGTAAACGTAGAAACAATGAATGACGACACACAGCCGGTTTGCAAAATCGTGGATAAATCACAATTTCAATTAATCATAATACGGTCACACGGCAATGTAACCCGGGTCTTATAAATTTTCCTTGGTATTCGCGTGTAAATGCACTTGAAAATTTACGTTTCGCAACGTCTGGATGGGGCCTATGGACCGGGGCCAAGTCGACCTCGCAAAAGAGAAATCAAGGCATATCGCCAGCGGATCGGCCTTCGAAAAACCGAGTTATTCGGATTGTTAATATTCTGACGTGGAATAATAATCTTGATGAAGCGCGATTTATTTTTAAAAATAAATCACATCTGATTCCACACATCCTCCATTTCAAAACAGGCTTTATTTTTGCGTAACGAATTTACGGCATCGTAGCTATACGAATCGAATAAATTTCATTAAAAAAATCGTGAAACTTGTTTGTTTTAACGCCATGATTTCTTCTGTTTTCTTTTCTTCTCTTTCGTTTTCTTTCTTTTTTTTTTTTTTTTTCAAGAAAAGAGATTGAATTTATAACGATAGTTGTTTTCGAAAGGAAGGATTAACCGATTCTCGAAACGTTGAAAATGGTCGGTTCAGGCACGATGGTTACTTTGATTTCTTTTTCATCCTCAGCAGGAGGCTTTGCTGTAATATCAACGAAATCGTGGAACACGGTCTGGTCTTAAACTTCGCGTGACTTTATTTTTAAACACGACAAGAAACGGACGATTCGTCATCGGTTAGGGAGAATCCGAAAGAAACTTTTTCGCGGTTCTGTTTTTTTTTTTTTTTTTTTTATTTTTCGTCTCTTTTCGTGTGGATATTTTTGCGTCGTTTGTGCGTGAACAATCCTTCTCTCGTGGGAATGAATAATTAATAAGATTCTTTTGTTTCTTGTGTTGAATTAGTCCAAATAAACGAAAAAGTTTAATAAAATTGTACGAATGGATATTATTAATTTTATAAATTACGTTTCTAATATAATTTACAGATCAATTGGATATATAATACTGAAATATGATTTGATATATCACGGATATAATAATATTTTGTTCGATTATTTGAATTTCGGATCTTTAATTCGAATGATAGAATATGCAATTTGAAGATTAAGTTGAAAGTAATTTGTTAGATATTTGATATTTGATATAGATATTCTCTTCTTCATTGATAAATTTTTCAATTGTTAATTCAAAATATATTTCATTAATATTTGCAACATGTACGATTTTCTCTTCAAATCGTAAAGAAATTTCTTGGCATCGAAATCGTCTTTATTATTAAATTCTCTATGCTACACTATTTATTATTAAACATATTTTCTAAATTATTTTTAAATTATTCTGTTTTTTTTCAACTATTTCAAAACTTCTTTGAACAACTTTCATTGACAAATTTCAAATTTCAAATTTTCTAATTACAATTCACTGTTTCTTTTAATTTTAATCTTCATTGTTTACAAAATTATTAACAAATCCTTCAGCAGTCAATTCTCCAATTCGAAATTTTCCTCATTTATAATCCCAACATCTGTAATTTTCTAACAATTTTTCTTTTTCAAACTTTCATATTATCCCTATCAATACCTTCTTCCAAAATCCCTTCCAACATCGATTCTCTAACTAAATCTTTACAAACATCAAAAAAAAAAAAAAATTATTCAACCATCAAAATTCCAATAATTTCCTCTCCCCTCGAATCTCCATCTCCAAATCAAACGAAACCAAAAATAAAAAATTATTTTCCAAAAATTCCAACGAAACGAGTGCATTCCAACAAAGTGCACAGCCAGAGTTGGGCATTGACTCGTTGAAAAAGTGACTAATTAAAATTTTAAAATAAAATTACTTTAATCGTAATCACTTATTAAAATGCTTGAACTACATTTATTATAATTGATTCGCTCTTCGTATAATCTCGATCGTTTCTTTTTCTTATTACATTTCGAACAATAAACTGAAATATCTTTATTCAAATTATTAAATTTATTTTCGCTGCGTGCACAGCCTCCCAGCACACAAGTGCACGCTCCCGTCTCTCGTCTGTTAGACACCAACGTTTCCACGGAGAGTAGGTGCAACGCGGAAGCCCCGTCTAGCATTCCAAGCTCGCTAATAACCCGGCGGCGGGTCATTATTCTAGAGAAGGAGGTGACGGCGGTCGCCACGCAGTTTCCCACTCAAAATGAAAAACCCGAACGCGAACACGTGGAGGGGATGATGCATGCGGAGGCTACTTTCAGTGGCCGAGCACGTTGGTGGGGTTGGACTCTCGTGTCTCACGCACGCACACTCTCTACCCCGAGCTTAGTCTAGCCTTAATAGTCATCCACTGGAAGCCGGAGACGATCGAGTCTGTCCTCGGCCACGATCACGCGTCCTCTCTGAATTTTCCATCGTTCTCTTCGCGCCATCATCGACCGTCCAAGATATCCAACGTTCGAAGAAATATCGTGCGGTGTTTCAGTGATACAGGAGGGTGAATTACTTAGTGTTTAATAGTGTTTCGTTGTATCAACGCTCGATGTTGTTGACAGCTGGCTGCCTTCGATCGGACCGCATCGGTTTGTTCTCGAGACGAACTCGAGAGAGAGAGAGAGAGAGAGAGAGAGAGAGAGAGAGAGAGAGAGAGAGAGAGAAAGAGAGTTGGTTCGATCGAAGTGCAGCCACGATTGAACTGGACACGTCTGATTCTTTGCCTGGATCGAGCATCGCGAAGGTGGTGTGCATGCTAGTTTTTTTCTTTTTTTTTTTTAATTCATAACAATTCGAGAATTTTGAGATTTTCGTTCGATATACAATTATACGTTGTATAATCTTGGTGGAAAAGTGAAGAAAAGAGAGAGAGAGAGAGAGACTCGTCGGTGGAAATATACAAGTGGTGATTCTTTCTGTGCATTTGTTAAATTTTTAATTTATCGTTCGTGAGTGATATATATATATATATAATATATGCTTGTGATAATTATTCGCAATTGAGATTCGTTTTTTTTTTTTTTGAGG